ACTCCCAAGGAGACTATTTACATATGTTCATCAAAAACCTGTTTAAAATTCTATTTAAATATTAAAAAGCTTCTAAGCCCCAAATATTAAATTAGTAGTATCACAAAGACTTTTGTTTTAAATCCACAAAGCCTTAATTATTAAGGAGCAACATGACATTTTGCCTGCTCTTAGCAAAGTTTTGAAAAAAGAGGGGAAAGGCCAAGCTGGTGAAAAAGTGAGTACACAAGTAAGGAATCCAGTTGTTTTATTCACCAATTTAAAACACGCACGTGAAATTAAGCTCTCACCAGACCAGAACTTTGACAACTGAAGCTATAAATCCAAGTAAATAGAAAGAAATCAAGGAAAAAATAAGATCTAAACTAGTTTTGTGGCTTTTAAACGATCCTTAATTAAAAAAAAAAAAAGCAATGAAATATCACCACTTATCAGCAAAACACTTTCTTGCTTTTTTTTGAAAAATCATGAATAGGATCCTGACCCTGAAATCTACGAGCTAACTGGAAAAATCTTCCTTTTTTCTTCTTTAAAAGCATCTAGAATAATCTATATCTGTGGCTGTCATGCTGTGGTAAATGGATTCCTGGGAGTCAATTGACTCTTTCTATCAGACTTAAGTGACTTAAAAGGAAAAAAAAAAAGGCAACTCATACATGCTATACAGGTGACATTTCTGGGCCTGTTAGAATTTCAGATTAGGAAACCAAAAAATTGGAGTGTTTGCACAATATATGTCTCTATACACACCATAAATGTGTCAATTTCCACCCAGTTTATCCTTGTTACTGTTTATAACAGATCCAAACATCTCATTCACTACTATTCCTGGACGGACTAAAATGCAAATTTCTTTTGCTCTAAGATTTATTGCCTTCCATCTTTATTTCCTTATGGCTGAAGGCTGGTGCAGCTAACAGAGTGGGTGCCCTATCTCCTAATTAAAACATAGTCACGTAAAAACATCACAAAACCTCCAGAAGACCCACAATGTGCCCAGGATAAAGCCAGTGCGTTGAATCCCAGCTGAAATCAACAAATATTGCAGTGCATACTTCCAGTATTACTATCACACATTAGCTTAAAATCTAGGGGGAAATTTGCAACTGGAGCTGCCTGGACCAAAGCCCACTGGAATTTGTGGGAGTTTGACATTTTCACTGGATTCTGAATCAGGTCCGGAGGCCTGAATCTCTATCTCGTTCTTCCAAATTCAACCCAAATAGATGAGAAAAGAGGATGAAATAGCATCCTCCTCCCACAACCCCGAGATTCAGCCACATTTCCAAATACAAGATGAAGAATCTTGGTTTATGATCCCCAGTCTCCAAATCCGTACACGGGTTTAAATATGCTACAGTGCAGATTTCAGACAGCTTGTGTTCCCTTTCTCTACCCCTGTGCAAGACTCAACACATAACAAAGAACTCTGCATTTCCACTATGGTCGTCATTTAAAGATTTCTTAGTTTGATTTCCCCTCCTGCATTGTATTAGCCTCTACCATCATGTCTTGAAGGGCTTAGGTTTGCAGTTTGTCCCACTGGTAGTGTTCATCCCCACAGAGAGATGTAATCGCATGTGTAAGATTATGCAGGATCAAGCTCTTTGGCCACCTGCCTACCGAATTTTTAGAGTTACACCACAGATAGCAATTTACTGGAAGCGTCCAAACAAGCCCAGAATCCAAGTTCTTCACTTCTGTGAAGCTTCCTCAAGACAAACTGCTCAGTCTCAAAACTGAGAGGCGATCTCATGGTTTAACAACAGCGTATAACTTCGGGTTGAGCAACTCAGAGGTTATGCTCAGGTATTTTGAAAGCTGCTTTGGTTTTCATCTCCAGAGAATTGTGGCACATGATTGTCAAACAGGGAAATTCTGCCCCGGAAAATGAAGTAGTGGCTGAATCCAAGTTCTCTGGGAAACTTAAATAATTGAAAAGGAAGATCTAGTGAGGAGAACAATAATACAGATAATGTGTTTTCTCCTAACCTTCCCTTTAGGTCAGAAACAACAGATCTGCCAGAAGCATCGCACACTCTGAACAAAGTCACTTCAGGCTGGTTTTCTTATTAGTAATTAACCATATTAACATCAGCCTGCCGATGGGAAACGATTTTATGATGAACCACGGCGATTTATTAATATTCCTACAGCAACCCGGCAGAAATCACACGTGCAATTGGGGAAGCTCCAGCCCACGGAGAGACTGGTGGAGGAAGGTGGGAAGGCAGAGAAACACCTCCATCTCCTGAATCCCACCGGGGAACGGGGGGGAGCCTGAGGAGAGCCGCCAGCCCGGGCCTGTGCCCGATCTCACAGACGGCGATCAACCTCCACCCGCCCTGGCCTCCGTCCCCTCAGCCGGCAGCTCCCCAGCGACCGTTTAACGGAGGGGGACGGAGGCCGCGGAGCTGCCGGCTGAGGGGAACTTCACGGCGGCCTCCCCCCGGCCCCAGTCCCCCTCAGGGCCGCTCCCCTCAGGGCCTCAGTTTCCCCTCACGCCCGGCGGGGCTAAGGCTGCCGCTGCCACAGCCACGGAGCGACCCGGGGAGCCCCCCCTCCACCACCGAGAGGGGCTCAGGCCAAAACCCCCCATTCCCTCCCATCGCAGCCCCACACACTCACCAGCTTCATGCTTCACCCGGCTCTATTTACTGGGACAATCCTGCCCCCCCCCAACCGCTTTGGCTCCCGCGGCATCATGGGGCTTGTAGTCCCGCCGTCTTCCCCTCCGCCCAGGATGAAGTCATGTCCCGGGCCATGCCGGGAGTTGTAGTCCGCCCCCCGCGCTCTGTCCCGCCGACGTGCCTCGCCGCCGAGGCATGCTGGGAGTTGTAGTCCCGCCGCCGCGGCTCTCCCCGTCACCCTAGGGAGGAGGGGAACTACAAGTCCCAGGGTCTCACAGCGGCGGCAGGTGGGAGCTTGGATGTTGATATCAACATGGCGCTTGTCAGACAGACAAAGGCAGTCAGTGAAAAAAAAAAAAAAAAGAGGGGGCGAGCGGGGAGGAGGGAGCGGCGGGAGCAGAGCCGGGAGGG